CTTTAAGAGATTTTTTACTTCTTTTTAAGTAAACTATAATTAGATAGCACTCGCTTATTTCCTATCTATTCAATGCCTTATCAATTTTAAAATGGAAGATAAGCAATGTGAAATTTATAACTTTAATATCTTAGAGTAAAAATATTTTTTAAAAGCAAAATTGTATGTAAATTTATTATTCTTCGAACTCAACTCAGTCAATTTGTATAATAGATAGAGCTTTGAAAATTTCTACTTAACGGAAGGAAACAAACGATACAACGTAAAGAAGAGAAATCTTATATAAGAGATATAAATTTTAATATTTTTAAACAAAATTTTACTTAAGAAATAATTAAATCATGCACAGATCTTACATTTTTATATACATTTCAAAAGTGTTTTTAAAAGTTTATTTTAAAAGTAGTTTTATTTTAAATTTGCTGTATTTTAAAATTTAATATTGATGTTATAAGAGTGTTGGGAAAAACAATATTACAATATACAAGATGAGCCGAAAGTCAGTTAACCAAGTTAACTGGCTTTCGGCCATCATGTTTATTGTAATGTTATGCTTCAAATACAGTATTTTTTATAGTACCAATATAGAATTTTAAAAATAATATGCTTTTAAAATGTAAAACCAAACATCTGACACTGTCCCTCACCGTCCGACCACCCCATTATAGGACTGGCTGAACCCACGATGGGCCTGAAGAAAAAGACTCTCAGTGCCACAGGGCAAAAAGAGTAAAAAAACAATATTCATTGGCGCTTTACGAGGACGATACTAATTAGGAGGTTGTGTATCAAAATTTAACTGTATTTAAATATTTTCAATCAAAGTATCTAAATCTCAAAACAGAATTAGATATTACAAAAGTTTTGGTGTTAGAATCTTATTTAATTATTCTATTAACGTACAGTTTAGTTGGTTTTATTCATTTACAGCAATGTAATACATGGGCGATCTGCCAATGGGGAATGCCTCCCGGGAGGAAACTGTCCCCTATTTAGGTGTTACAAACGCGAAAAAAACCTGGAAAACTGCACGTGGCCAACCCGTAGGCGAGCCTCAAACCCACTCCTAACTACTAGTGTTCACACTCGGCCACTGGTGGGCAGTACAGTATAGAATTTTAAATCTATAATTTTATATTAGATTTAGAAAGAGAAATTATGCAAAGAAATGGTTTTCTAAGAGTTGAATATATTAACTACATGTAATTATAGCAAGCTGTGATGAGAAAGCAACTGACAAATGATTTGATAGAAGATCATTTTATTGTTTTTATATGGTTGTTTATGTATTGTATAATTTATTCAAGCTCACGTTTTCAAATTTGAATAATTCACTTCAACAATTACATTATCTTCTTCTTGAATAATGTTTACTTAACAGTCTTTACATCACTTTTCAATCGATAGTTTAAAATTTTAAAAATATTTATTTAAAATCTAATATTACAATTGTATTTAAAATGTATTATTTTATGATTTTTTTATAAGCTGGAAGTAAGTAAATTACTTATAAAAATTTTTTTGAAGATTTTAAAGAAAGATTTTAAAGATCACTTAATTAATGTTCATTATTTATAAATTAAAATACTACTTAATTAAAAGTATCTATTAAATACTTTTATGGTCTTTTAGAGGATTGAAGAAGCCCTAAAATTATTATAAGTGAAAAATAAATGAAGCCCTAATAACATACTGGACCCGAAAGAGATAATTGATTCAGGCAATGAAAAGCCTAGATTCCTTATCTCTGAGTCCTTCGTATTTAAAGAATACAGAACAATGTTGAAAAACGTTGTATTATAATTTACTGTATATTAAATGTGAGGCCCAGACTCAGACCAACGAAAGGAAGAAGACGTTCTGGGGTCGTGATATTTACGGAGTTAAAGGGACAGGACCCCAGAATCGGTGTAGTAAAATTTAATAATGAAATCTAGAAAATCAATTTATAAAATTTCAAATGCATAAAGAGAGAAAAAAGTAATAAAATAACTCGAGAGAATGTCATGTCAGAAGAAGAGAGGTGTAGAGGGGTCCTGGTGTTAATCCTAAATCCTGTAATTATTCTTCATATCCTTTACCTGACTGATTATGTCCTAACAATAAAGGGAATTTCTGTGGGAGGGTTTCAATACTATTAATAGCATGGAAAATTTATTTTAAACAAAATAATAAACTTTTTACCTCTTAAAAATTCAAAAACGAAAAAATTTATTTGATTATTAATTTTATACAAAGGCTAATTGCTAATCTTTCTATTTTTTCTTGAAAATAACAATTTAAAATAACAAATAAACGTGTACAGTACATATATAAAGATTCGATTTAAAAAAAAAAAAACAAATTTATTCGCCAGAGGATAAACAAATTCTAATTTAATTTTATTATAAAATTCAATTTTAAATTTTATAATTATATTAGAATTGTATGCCTAAGTTTAGTTAATGACAAATTTTAAATTAAAAATAGAAAAAAAAAAATATATATATATATATTAAATGTAAAATACTGTATTAATAATA